TTAGTACATCTACTGCGAAAATAGTATAGAGGCTCCTGAAATAAATAATAGTATTATTATACGACCCAGAAATGCCACTACTGGTAAATATTCTAAAGAAACGAATTCAGTAGGTCAAAGAGACACCTTCATTCCATGTTCATTGCAACACCATTCAGAAAAACTAATGAATGGAAGCAACATAAATATCCCTTGACTGATTAATGGATAAAGACAATGTGATATATTATACACACACACACACACACACACACACACACATATACATACATACATGCACACTCATACCATAGAATACTAATCAATTATGAAAAAGCATGAAATCATATTCATGAGACATCATGGATAGAACTGGAGATCATTGTGTTAAGTGAAGTGTGTTAAGTAAAGTGAGTCAGATATAGAAAATCAAGTACCATACTGGCTCACTCAAATGTGTAACCTAAAATCATTGAAATCATAAACATTGACAGTAGCATAGTAGTTACCAGAAGCTAGAGAGAGAAGTGTAAGGAATAGGCATAGATTGATGACAGATACTACGTTACAGTTAGACAGAAGTAAGAAATTCTGGTATGCTATTGTTGACAAAGATAACAATTATGTGTTATATATATTTCAAAAAGCTGGAAGAAAGGATTTTGAACCCTTTCACCCTACAAAAGAATAAATGTTTGAGGAGATAGATATGTTTACCCTGATTTAAACATTACATGATTTACATGTGTTGAAACATCAAATGATACTTATGATACACATGTGTATGAAACATCAAACATACTTATGATACCCTATAAGTATGTAAAAAACACTTATGTTTTAATGTATCAATTAAAAAAAATTTGTGGTACTTGGGTTCAAACCTAGGGGCTTGTGTATGTTAGGCAAGCACTCTATCACAGAGTTATACCTGCCTCCAATATATTGAATTACAAAACAAGAGAGATGAGAAAGAGCTGTGAGTCTAAAGAGGTCAAAGAGGCTATGGTTTATAGGATAGAATAATGTTACAGGCAATGACTACCCAGAGAGAGCCCACAGAGATCTGGGGGGCATGTCCTGAACATTGGAGTGTCCGTCATTCATTTAGGAGAACACTCCTAAGCACTGGCTTTTGAGTGACCTATTGGTGAGAGACCCATCTGAATTGACCAGAGGGTACAAGAGTTGCAGCTCATTCTGGGTCAGGAAAATGACAGTTCCCGCCAATCAGCCTGGAAAATAAACTAACATATGCAGTTGGGCAGAAGACAAGGAAGGGTCTTACTTCAGTAGTGGGAAATAATAAGACCTGGACTAAATCCCTTAATTGGTCCCACCTCAAACATCTAAAGCAAGACCAGAATGATCAGGCTGTTTCCATGTAAGGAAACTATATGAGACTACTAAACTGAAGAGAATATATAGGACCACAAGGCAGCCAGCATTCAACAAGGCAAATATCATGTCATGATCATCAAACCAAGATCAATAGGCATGCCAAAAATCAGAAGAAAATCTGTATGTTAGAATTAGCCAAAAAGAAAGTTATAACTGTGTTTCAAATGTTGAAAGTGTTAGAGACTTGGAAAATATAAAAGGACAGCCAATTAAACTTGTAGAGATGAAATTACAATGCATAAAATAAAAATATATTAGAAGGGAATAAAGATAGTTTGGACACATCAGAAGATGTGTGAATTTTTAGGCATACCACTAGAAAATGCACAAAGTAAAATAGACAGTGAAAAACAAAACAAAACTAAACAGAAAACCTGTGCATGGGTGAGTTGTAGAACACAGGTAGATGACCTAAAATAGACGTGACTGAAGATTCTGAGAGGGAGAAGGAAAAATATGTTTTAATAGGTAATACCTAAAATTTTTCCAAATATGATGAAAACTGTACTTGTAGATCAAAGAATCTCAACAAATGCTAAACACATGAAAAACACAGAACTACAGGAAGGTACATCATAATTTCAAAATATACAAAACTAATTCTGTAAATATATAAATAAATATAACTTTTCAATAAATTATGGGTATTTATATGTTGAAAAAAAAATTAAAGAAGTATCTTACCCTTCACAGAAAATTCACTCAAACTAAATTGTAAATCATAACACAAATCCTAAAACTATTTCAAAAAATCTAGAAAAAATCATAAAAGAATATCTGTTTGAACTCACAGTTTGGGCAAATATTTTGTAGGTCCAACATCAAAAGTGTGAGTCAGTAAACACTGATAAACTGTACTTTGCCAAAATTATAAACTTATGCTCTTTAAAATCAATTTTAAGTAAAACAATTTAAAGTGGATTCCAATTGCAGATTGGAATAATATATTTGCAAATCAAATATCTAATAAAGCATTGTATCTCTAACATATACATAATTCTTACAGTTCAATAATGAGAAAACTACTGATCTGAGTAAAATGGGGCAAAATATCTAAAAGTATAATATTTAAGAATGGTCAATAAGGCTGGGATTATAGCTCAGCGATACAGCGCTTACCTCGCACATGTGAAGCACTAGGTTCAATCCTCAGCACCACATAAAAATGAACAAAATAAATAAAGATTTTATGTTTATCTTAAAGTAATCTTTAAAGTCAGAATGGTCAATAAATTTATGAAAAGATGATCAACATCATTTGTCATTAGAGTAATAAAAATTAAAACCAAAATATCACTACACAACTATTACTATGGCTAAAATGCCCATACCCCTGTTGATGAGAAAAAGGAGAAATTTAACACTTATGAACTGATGGTCTAATATAAAATAATATGATCAGTTTCGAAAATAACTTGACAGTTTCTCAAAATCTTACACATGTATCTCTCCTTCAATCTAGCCCTTAAATCCACTCCTATGTCTTTACCTAGAACAAGCCAGAGTATGTCCACATAGACCTCTGCAGATGTTCATAACAGCTTTATCTACATTAGCTAAAAGCTTGTTGTTCATCAGTTAGGGAACGGACAAACCAGCTGTTGCACATTCATGAAAATGTGCACTATCTATCCATAAGGAGGAATAAACTATCGATATCAGCAACATCATTGGAGGAGTCTCAGAATAATTATGCTGAATGAAAGAAACCAGACAAAAAGAATGCCATCTGATTCTATTTAAAATATCTAGAAATATAGCTAATCTGTAGTGACAGAACATAGATCAGTGGTGTGTGGGATGAAGTTACAGGGGCAGAAGGGAGGGATTACAATAGAGGCAAGAAAATGCTAAAGGTGAAGACGATATTAACTATTAAAGATGATAGTTTCACAGGAGCATGCACAGGTCAAAACATATCACACTATATATTTCAAATATGTGTACTTTATCAATTTTACCTCAACAAGGCTGCTAAAGAAGTAATTTCTTGAGGATTCTTTTGATAATTCACATCCTTACAGACTGTGAACACAGAACGACACACAAACAAACATGCCCATGCACGGTCACACATAGAACCGCAACCCACAGTCAAAGCATGACAATAACTGACCCATAAAAATAATGAGGAATATCAGCCTTTTCAAAGTAACAATAGAGAGGGTTCCCCTCCCCCAAGATAAATTTTAACTTGAAGTAAGACCATTTAGTCCAAATGAAATGAGGCAGGCTGTAATGGAAAGACTTCAATAAAGCATACTAATAGGAGGAGCTGTATTCATAAAAATGACAAAGATACCATTTTTTTTCAAGGCAGTTCTCCCACTGCTTTGCAGGTTACTTTCATCACTCAAGAAAGGATTTCCAAGAAGCTTTAAATGCAGATGAAGGAAAACATAACCGCTAGACTTTCTATTACTTTTGTATTTTTGGTTTTAGATTGAATTCCTTTCTGGTACAATTGACTACAAGAAATCTAAAGCACATTAAAGTATAACTGTGGATAGTGAAACTTTTAAGTTTTCTGAGATAAGTTTATGAAATATATTGATGTGTATGTTTCCTGTGCTTTATGATTTATTTAAAAGACTTTAGTCTCCCTAAAGGAACCATGAACTGATTTACTCTATGTCTCTTTGCTCCTATGAAAAGTACAACTTTCAAAAATATATATCTGTGTAAGAGAAGACATTTATGATTAATTTCTCTTCATATACATTAAGATGGGACTCTCAATTCCATTAATTACTCACCATGTAACTTTACATTGGAAAAGTGAGCCTTGAGGGCAACGATTTCCATCATATCCAGTGAACCTGATTAAAATAATTGGTTGTTTCCATAACAAGTGCTTTGGCAAATGCTCCTTCTTCTGTTAGTGAGGAATGGGTTTTATTAGAAACTTCATTGTTATAGAAAGCTACTACAAGATTAATGTATAAAAATGAAGTTTAGTTCCTTTTAATAAAATTCAATGACTTGTGAATTAGACTAAGTATCAGTAAAGACTAAGTGTAAATATAGCCCCATACACTTAATTTGGCTATTTAATTTGGCCCTGAGTATAATGATTTTAGTTTATGTGGCATCTTACTTCCCCACAGTTATTAAACTTTCTACTGTGGTTCAGAGGACAAAGAGGACTTAATGTAGTCACAATTAAAGGAGCTACAGAGCCATCTTTAGAGATGATATTAATATTTTGCCAAAGTAGAATCCTTCCAAAATGTACTGCAAAATTTAAAATCTTTGAGTTGACATGCAGTGATAGAGAAAACCTAAAAGTTTTTGATCAACTCATTTTACTAACTATGCAAATGGATTTTTAAAAAATCTGCAGAACAGTGTTCAGGTACTACCACTAAACTGTACTAAATTCACATATTATGGAATCATAGAAATCATTATAGTTCTGTATAGTTAAGCATAAATTACATCTTATTTTCATCTGTTAAACACACATATATACACACATCCAGATATACATACACATATATAAAATTCACACACATAAATTCTGTGAGTTTGTACTTATTTACCTCATGGCTTTTATTCTATTTAATTCATTATTTTCAATAGATAACTCACTATACAAATGAGAAAATAATCCCCCCAAAACCTTCCTGCTATTAACCCCACTAAAATTTTAGTTATATAATTATTTTAGTATTCACACAGATCTCCTTTCCAACCTTAAATACTATAACATATTTAAACTTACTGTTTGCTCATCAGCTTTAGACATTAAATCTGCTATGCTACCCTTCACATTTCTTTCTTGCCTCTAAAGCTGTATTGCTATTTATCATTTGTGTTTTTACAAATTCTGTTTCATAAATGTATGTCAGTCTTAACTAAAGCTACAATCACAAACCCTCCGTTCTTACTAGAACAATATGTGTGTATTTATTTCTCAGACATCTGAGAGTCATTGGGGTTGGTGGCCTGCAATCTAGCTTCACAGAGAAGCTGATTCTCCTGAGCTCTGTGCTCAAGTCTCCTCCCTGTGGGATCATCTGTGAGGTCTAAGGTGAACGTGCAGTAACTATCATTTGTACCTCCAATGTGACAATAACAGAAGTTCAAACAAGCAAGTGAAATATGGGTGACTTAAGTTGGCTTAGAAGTGACTCATTGTCTTTTGCTCCATTCAATGGCCAAATCATGACCTATCTCCAAACCCAAAGCCAACAGGTGAAGAAATGCATTCCTCCTTCACAGGATAATTTCAAAGTTATATGACAAAGAATGTAGACATAAGTTGGTGTGAAGAATCTGAGCTATAAAATAATCTGTACATTGATTCTTCAATAGTAGGGTTTATAACTGATTGCAAATATTAGCAAAAAAAGATATTTACCATACTATGATTTAAAAATTATTCTTCATTGTAGAATAAAGTATAAAAGTGTCCTTGTTCTTCACCAAAAGTGTACCAAGCTATTGAGGTTATTCTAGTATCACAGTCAAATGAACTTTCTTTTGACATATTTTCCTAATTGTATTCTCTTAATTATGACTCATTTACATATTTGGCTTCATACAGTTTTTATTGCCTTTCCTGGAACATTGAATTATTTTTTTTTTAATGAGAGAAGTACATGTTTCTGCACCATGTGATCATGAAATTTCCATAGTTTAAGTGCATTAAAATCTCTGGAAGAGTTGCCTTGAACTCTTTGACTTCTTGCTCTGAGTTGAGCTGTATGCTACATCCTGTGATGTCTTTTTCTCTTTCCCCTGGGTTTATTCTACTCTTCATTGATTCTAGGTTTCTTCTTCTTACATCCTCTTTTCATATGCCTTAGGACATTTTCAGGTAATTTTCATGAAAAAAGCAAGGAAAAGGTCATTTTGAGCATTTATCTTAAAAAAGGGCGACCACATTTGCATGAAGTTTGCCTGCTAATAGAAGTCTAAGTTCAAATTCATGTATTCCCAGGAAGTGAATAGTACAAGAATTTATTTTCTTATCTTCCAGCGCACACAATTGCTACCTAGAATATTTGAAGCCAATATAGTTTTTGCTTCAAGTTAACCTGTTACATCTTGTGATGGTATCAACTTGAATGGATTAAGAGATAAACAGATAAATGGTAAATCATTATTTCTGAGTATATCTGGGATCAGGTTTCTAGAAGAAATTGGAACTGTAACAGTAGATGGAGTAAGGAAGAGCCCTTCTCTATGTGGGCAGGCAAAACCTAGTTGTTTGAGGGCCTGGAGAAGACACTAAAGTAGAGGAATGGCGAATTCTCTTTCTGCCTTCTTGAGCTGGAAGACCTTTATTCTTGTGCTTTGGAAATTAGGACTCCAAGTTCCCCAGCCTTCGGACTATGGGACTTGCACACCCTTCCCACCCAACTGATCCTAACCTTTTTGTCTTGGAATAATGGTGGCACTACTGAATTCCCTGGTTCTGAGGCTTTTTGACTAGAACTGAGCCGTACAACTGGGATTCTCTGGAACCCTGAAAAACCTTATTTTCACAGCACCATCAAACTTCTCAGCCTCCCCATAATCATGTAAGCTAATTCCTCTAAAAAATCCTGTCTATCTTATCTACTTATCTATGTAGAGATGTCTTACTGATTATGTTCTACTCTGGAGAACAATAGCATCCATTTCTTTGGGATTATGAGATTTTATCTCCATACAGATTTCTTTTTAAAAAATTTATTTGTTCTTTTTAGAGAGACATGATAGTAGAAGTAGAATTTGATATATTTATACAAACATGAAATGTAACTTATTCTCATTATGATTCCAGTCTTATAGCTATACATGAGGTGGAGATTCATTGTGATATATTCATATATGGACATAGAAAAGTTATGTCATATTCATTCCACTGTCTTTCCTATTCCTATTCCGTCCCTCTTCATTCTCCTCTGTCTAATCCATTGAACTTCTAGTCTCACCTATCCTTATTATATGTTAGTATCCACATATCAGAAGACTTTTGATTTGGGGGATTGGCTTATTTCACTTCAAATGATAGTCTCTAGATCCATCCATTTACAAACAAATGTCAGAATTCTTTAGAATTTGTTTAAAAATATCTTTTGTCATTCACTGTGTCTGTACTCATTTATTTATTTCACACAAGGATTTAATTATTATTGCCTCCAATTTTTCTATTTTCTTATAAATAAAATATAGTTCTGTGTGGAATTTCTTAAGTCAACACCCCTTGTTTATTAAACATATAACTCATATTTTCCATTTATTTATATTTTCATCTAAGTTTTTAATGTGTCTCTGAATTTTACTTTTTACTATACTAAAAAATTCCTCCAATCCAATTTTTCATATTCATAAACTCTTTTTCAAAGTGGCATATTCTTGTTATATAAATATCGTATTTTCTTTATCTTTATAATTAAGATGTATTCATGAGGTCTCTCTATTCCATGAACCATAGTTTATTCCTCTTGCATCAAGTATTTTATGTATTCATTTTGGATTTTTTGTTTTGTGCAGTTCACCTTAAATGTCTGGTGAAGCTTAATTGTCTACTTATATATATGAGAGAGGAGATTAATAGATATTCTTAAATGATTTCTCTTCTCCAATACTTTTACAGGTTTATTTTCACCAACAGGCTTCTCCAATGCATGAGAAGATTGACTGCCACTGCTTAGTCCAGGACCCATAGGCAGAGTGCAGATATCAAGGCTCATCCCATCTTGCAAGAGAAAATTCTCTTAGTGTTTTCAAATTCCACATTTGGAACCCAAGCTCATTCCTAGGAAACCTTAATTTTTTTAGACAGAACTATTATAGTTTTAATGGTGAAAATTATGCTGTTTTTGGAGAGGGCATAAAGAGGGAAAGAAGGGGCAACCAGAGAAGCCATTTCAAGAAAGCTGTTAATTGACTAACCTGATTTCTGTCAGGTCTCTTCTCTGAATTTAGCTAGGACCTGTTCTACTATGTGAAGAACAGCCTTGTCTCCATTTCAGACTTTGCTGTGTCAAGGATGTAGGCTCTGGGTGGCCTTCTTTATTTACGTCATAGTCTCCCACACTCCTTCATCCAGGAAGATAAAGGTCCCTCTCACTGATTTTAGATCATTAAATATCATATTATCTTTATTTTATTTAGAATTCACTGTCACTTCAGTGAGCTTTCAGGGTAAAGAGATCAAAATACATATGTCCAATTTGGCTTATTAAACATACACATAACACACACACACACACACACACACACACAGAGACAATCCACTGTTCATCCTATTTTCAAACATTTCAAACAATGAAACTAAAATGTTCACTATTTATTCCAAGTTTCCTAATGGAGAACCTTTTTTAGGACTTCAAATTCAACCTCTTACCACATTCCCTCTAGGGAGGCTACCAGCTCAAACAAACAATTTCTTCTGACTGCTCAGTAAAATTAAGAAGAGTGTATTTCCTGTGAGAGCAATAATCTTGGTCCTAAAGATTGTTAAAGAAAGCATCAAGAGAAGTTATTATGTTTTATATTTGGCATCCACTAGATAAAAATCTTTCTCTACTATATATGCTTTTGAGACGTCAGGCCAGAGTAGCATTGGCACATAGTATAGACAGAATGAGAAGGAGAGACTAAATACTGGAGTTTCCTCCTTCTCCAATATCATATTAATCAAAAAATTTTATGCCAGAAGCTAGTATCCATAATTTCTTAAGAAAATTTATTAGAAGAGAAAAAGTTTCTTAAAAATATCAGATATTATATCTTTCATTTTGTTTAAAGAGTATTTCTTTTACCTTTATTTTCACTTAAAGGTTACAAAAATCTCTATATAATATTTTAGCTTTTTCTTTAAAAAGAAGCAGGGGATTTACTCATATCATTGACTGTGAAAAAGTTTTACATATATTCCAGATGTGAAATGAGAAGCCCATTAGATAACATTCAAATCTTTCTAAAGAAACAAGATGAAGAAAAGGTTGGCTGTGGGTCATAGGATATAGAACCAAACTTTTCAAATTTAAAAAAAAATGTAAATTATACACACATAATGTTTGGCATTTTTGCAAATCAATTTTTAAAAACATAAATTATGGTTCTATATTTTCTCAAAATCTATTTTTAGGCCCTTTTCAATCTGCCCACCATGTGCCCACAGAACTTAGTGTTCCTGATAATGATAGAACTTCCAATCTGTCTGATCTTTGTAAAAAGTCTATGGAGAGAATGATGGAGAAGAAAGTGATGAGGATTTTTAATCTTTCTGAATACTTTATGGAAAATTTGCTTTTCCCTTGTAATTATTTCTTATACAGATGTATTATGAATTTAAATATAAGATCATATAGAAAGCTAAATGCATAATTTACTAAATGCATAAATATTCAAGAGATAATTAAAATATAGCAATACTTCAGCCTTAGAACATTGAATATTTTGGTTCCAATGAAAGGGTATGTTCTGAAAATTTCTAGACAATGATAGCTAGAATATATTACTGAACAAAGAAGTGTTTCTATAACAAAGCAGCATGCTGCATACAATTAAAGCATTAGAACAGCATACAGACAAAACTGTTAGGCACAACAAGCTTCATTGAATATGAGGAAAGAGATAAAAGAAAACTTTTATAAAACCAGATGTCCTAATGATGGAAAATAAAAGTAAATTGAAATCTGACTGGTTTATAAATTTATCAATTATATTGGACAGAGTCAAGTAACATTATGGCATTCTCATTTCACCACTCTCATCTAGCAATTCACAAGAATAGGCAATCTTCAGGGTCTTACAATGTACTTCTTAACTCTGCAAGTGAACACTGCTCTGAGATTTTAAAGAATAATATCTGCACTAAAAGTAATTATAGTGAATAATGGGAAAATAGTTTATCCAATTACCACTAGCAAAATAGACATACATATCTAAATATGTCTACTTTTATTTTACAGACACTTTCCCTGGATTATGCTACAAAATAGAATACCTGGGAATGGAAAGGACATTCAGAACCTCAGCAGAGATATACATGCATTACTGAAGCACATTTTAAAGTGTTTCCAGCATGTACAAGATATATTTATATCCCTCAATTGCAGGGAGAAATTGAATATTTAAAAAATAGAAGAACATATAAATATAAAAATCTTTCATTTAATGTCTTGAAACCCTCTATCTAAAATGCTTACAAAAATTCTCACTCAAAAAATTGTATTTGTGATGAATTCTCTCATTTACCTTTATTTTTTGGAACTTTCAGGTTAGGGGATTCACTTTCATAATTCCATGCTTTTACATTTCAGTTCCATTCTCAACATATAGGGTATTGATCTAATAATCATACTCCTTCAGATTTCTATTTTTTTATGTTCTCCCCAAACTCATTTATTACAAAATCCATAAAATCATTCCCTGTGGTGCCTATAAAAAAAGGAACAAACAGAACAATAAAATAAAACAATGTACATTTTTATTACGTTTTAATGATATTGTCATTGTCTGTACATGAAACCAAATGGAAACATTTTGGCCACAGGCATCTCCAGAGATTCACTTTCTGCCATTCTGCAATACAAACTAATGGGTATTTCCATTAATAAAAATGTTGAAAGTCAGCTAGGTATTTATTTTAAATAAATTGTGAATTTTTGAGTTAACTCAAATTACTATAGGAGAGTAAGTTCAAAGACACAACCATAGATATTTTTCCAAGGGCTTCAAATATCCCTTTGATTGAATCTTTGTGTTGTTTCAATAATCATAAGTAGACTGCAACTTTGTAGGCAAAAAAATAATGTCTCTAGGGTTAGATAGAAGCAGAGGAAAATGGTTAATATAAATATAATAAAACATCTGGTTATTGGCTACTTTCACAACTTCAAGCTTAAATCAGCTTCTATATTGTAAGTACATCTTTTCTTTCAAAAACTCTAAACGCCTTCTAGGTCCCACTAGTCATGCCCACAAAACACTTGTGCATACATCTCTATAATCTTAATTATGATATGCACTTCTAATAAATATATAGTTAAGTAGTTATAAACTATATGAGTATTACATAAAAGATTGCTAATATACTGGATACATCACTGAATGTATATAGGAAATGCAAATCAATAACATATATCAACATATTATATATCATAATGAAAGTTTCAATATGAGGAGCCAATTTCTTATTGGAAACAATTAGTTTGATACACTTTGTCTCATAACATTTTGTTTAGCTCATAATAGAAGAAATATTAGCTTCCATTTTCTTCTTTGCATGCATTATTGGTATTTTCTTCAACTTGATATTTCTGTGCAGAATTTTTAGGCCAATTGTGGATTTGGAGAGGGTACATTTTATTATAAATAGATAATATAACTGCCACATTGTGCCTGGAGTGTTCTGCTTTGTAGAACTCCTGCTCTATCCTCAGCACCTGTGCACTGGTATATTTTGACAGGTAATCCAGACTAGGTGCATCCTTCATGTGATTAAATAACTTCTCACTTAGTGTGTCTAATTTTTGTTAAAAAACATAAAAGTAAGTCCTCTTATTTTCTTCCTCTCATAGTCCTGTCTCTTACACTCTCCTGTAACACATTCAGCCCAATATGGAAACACTACAGCTCTATAAGTAAAGTGTCTAGGGAAATGATGTAGGGATTTAAAATATGTCCTATTTACTTTAAACATAAAATGAAGCTCAGTTACTTACAGTTCTCAGATTATAATTAATGGTTGATAGAATTGCATATTCCATATTTCAATCCTAGATCTAAGGAAATACTCCTGATGTAAGGTAAGGTTAAAGGAGACATTTCCTAGTCTAGCTTCAGGGTGACTGCCTTTGTAAAGCCTGGGGATTTTTTATGACTAATTCTTTTCTCAGGTCCAGATATCTTGGATAGATGTAAGATCATAGGATCACAGGATGCCTGTAAGAAAATGAATCACCAGAGCAAACATAAAGAACACTGTATTCTTTGTGAACTAGATTTTCTCAGTCTATAAGACTTAAAATCAAAACAAAAATCTTTCACCTAAGATTAGATATTTGTTTCTTTCTGATACTGAATCAAGTCTTGAAACAACTTTCCTGGTTTTTCTTGTTACTTTTAGGTAAGAAAAATACCTTTATCTGAGTTACAGTTAATAAACATTTGCATGTATCTCACACACTAAAACAAGTCTTGTCTTGGGTTTGTAGAAATCCATGATTTCTCATTTGGATCTTCTCCTCCTCAACTCAGGCCTGCTGAACAGGGGAAATGATGTGGGCCAGAAGCAGAAGTAAGTTCTCTCCTAATAGGGGCAGATCTGGGTGAAAATAGCAGCCATCTTACAAATCTACATAATTAAAAGTTACAAATAAGATGAGCAAATATTTAAAACATTTCCAAACATATGGAAGGCTGGGTTCAAATTTAGAACTCTCAGACATCTCAGGGTTCCATAAAATAAAGTGGGGACAGTGGGAGAAAAAAATTCTCATCTCACACGTCTTTAAACATACTCCAACCCAAATACCTAAGCTCTGCCTCCTCCATACAGAAAACTGCAGCCCCAGGTTTTGTCACCAAGATGAACATTGTAGACACTAATGTCAAGGTCATCCGTGGAGGACAGACATGGAGAAGAGGCCCAGTTAGGACCTGGACCTATTTTCAGCATCATTTGACCACAATATTCTGGCAGCAGGAGTTCCTTGAGCATTGTCTAGAAGAGACCACAGATCTCTAAATGAGTATGACCCCCTATACCTGCAAACTCCCAGCCCCATAGAAGGGATGATGCTAGAGGAAGTCAGAGAAAAGTCTCCAATGTGAGACTCAAGGCAGGGTTCTCTCCAGGCAGTAACTTAGGAAGAAACTGGGAAGGAAGTTATGGACTCACTCTTTTAAACCCATCTAGTCCTCTTCAAGACAATAGCAGTATTTTGATGTGTTCTGTATCAGAGTAGATGAAATGAAAACCTTGCTTGGTGGTTGGGTTGAAAGATAGTATTGGTAACCCCTTGGATTAAGAATATATACAACTGTGTGCTTTTCTTCTCCTGGAAGCAAGTTTGAAGATTCTTGAATGCCATTTTAGCTCTGGGAATTCCTCATCTGTATCTGCCTTCACTCATGGGCTACTCTTTTGGGACCCCCCGTACATCCACCATGCACTATCCTTTAAAGGATAAGGACCCCATCCCTCCTTAGATAATATAGCTGCTTGGTTTTGAGAGTCCCACATGGCCCACAGAAAATCCATCCACATTCTTTTCTTGCTACATTCTAGAACTTTGGCCCTGTCCCTAAACCTTTTCCTGTCCTTGCTCTGTATCAGCCACAGCTTCTTGTATTCAACCTCTCTAGGCAGACATTTAATCACCAGTCTATATGTAATTGACCACAAGAAATCATAATAAATAACAAAAGGAAAACTCAGTTTTTAAATTTCACTCTGAACTCTTTGCCATCTTATTTTCCCTTTATTGCTAATTATGTACTTAACATCAATCATAGTTTAAATAAAATATTTGGAGAAAACAAGATGGTTTGCTTTTGAAATCCATCAAAGCCCTCGAATTTGTTTTGAAAATGCTTGAGAAAAGTTGGGCAAGAAATGTGAACTTCAAAGAATGCATCTACTGTCAAATGACAAAACCACATCATGTCCAAAGTCCCCAAGAAACAGGAAATGACTAGGAGGTTCATTTTAAATATACTCTCTGTGCTATTTGAGAATGGCAGGCCACAAACTAAAGCAGATAGATAGGTGGCAATAAATATTTTTCTTCAATTCAACTACTCTGAAGAGAAAAGAAAAATACTATGTTCTCAGATAAAAATGTCCTCTATACTCTTACAAGAGTGCACTCAAGAGAATTTGAAATAAGTTTTATTTCTAAACCTCTCAGAGCAAATTAAAATTTATGACCTATTATTAAGAATTAAGCTATTTCAAGGAAAAAAGGCAAGTGTGTGTTTGTTTAGTTTTTAGTATAGAAGACTAGCAGTGGAAATATATACTAGATATCATAGATGGCTTCATACATTTTTAAAAAGGCATCATTAGTCCAGGAACCTATCTAATCAGATTACCACTAAGACTAAACAATTCATTTATAGAATTTAGGGCAAAATTGATTGTTATGTGTGTCATGATTTATAGGTAAAGAAATGCACATGTTAAATTACATAAATACATAATATATACGTGTGTGTGTGTGTGTGTGTGTGTGTGTGTGTGTGTATTCACATTTCATTGGGCTTTACTCAAATGAAGATACAAGAAAAAATGATTATTGGAGCCAAGATTGTGGGCTCAGTGGTAAAGTGCTTGCCTACCATGTGTAAGGCCCTGAGTTCGATCTTCAGCACCACATAAAACAAATAAATAAAGGTATTGTCTCCATCTACAACTAAAAACAATTTTTAAAATTGATTATTCATATTGAAAAATATCATCCATACTATCATCAAAATAATACCTCATGAACTTCAAAATAGATTCCTTTGCTTACTCCCTTCAAATACGGTGACTATTTTATATGTAGCTCCTTAGAAACTTGGAATAATTTCCTGCCTCTAAAACAGCTGCCTGGGACTTCTGCAGCTAGCCATAGAGACATAACTTTACTGCTGTGCATACCTTGTTTTGATATCATTATCAATTCAGAGCCAACTGGGAAGAATTGGGAATATTTATTTATTTATGATGTATACTATGTTTTTCAACAAATCAGTTGAAAGAGTTTGAAGTAAAATCCCTACATATTAAAATACTCAAAAATAAAAACAGACATCAAAAACCACAGATTAAAATGGGAGCTATAGGAACCTAGGACAGGTTACTTATTAGATTTTAATATTAAGTTTTTTTTTTATGCTAGACAAAATAGCTTTTATAGGTCTCATTCCTCATAACATGGAATATTCCTGTACTTTAAAGTTGATAAACATGTGTGTCATTATGGTTCGATCTGGAATTATCTCCAAAGGTTCATGTGTTGAAGGCTTGCTCCCCAGTGTAGCAATGTTCAAAGGTGGGCTTTGAGGATGTGAGTAGATAATGAAGGCTCTTATCTCAAGAATTGATTTAATCCACTGAGGGATTCATAACTGAAGGGATTGTTGGGCTCTTCTCCTTGGGGACTATATCTTGTGCCTGGCCCCTTTTTCTCTGGTAGGTTTTTTTCAGCTTTCTTAAAGCTACCCCATGAGCTGAGCAACTTTCCACCACCACACCCTTCCACCATAATGTTCTGTCTCGTTGCAGTCTATAGCAATGGATCCAATTGACCATGGATGAACACCTCTGAAACTATGAGCCAGTTAAATATTTTCTCTTTTAAGTCTCAGGTATTTTATCACATCGACAAAGAGGTAATACAATGTGCTACCTTATATTTAGTAAAAATGAAAAAATAGAATCCAGATAA